AAGTATTTGATAGTAAAGAGAGCTTGTCGACTGCGGCAGAGTGCGTCAAGGTAAGAGGGTCCAAAGAGGGTGGTGTGACATGATGGCCAAAACAAAGGCTGCAAAGCTTGTAAATCCTTTTTGCTAACCCTAGGTTAGTTGTTGACTCTTCAGTGGGTCTCCAGAGAGGTTTCCTACATTGAAAGGTTAATATTCATTTGGGGTTGGTTTGGTTTTTTTCAGTTTAACAGAGGAAAGCATTAAGATGAAAATACACAGCAAGAAAACCCCTGCCTTTATCAGAAATGCAAAATGTGTTTATTCTAGGAGGTCCTAAAATGATCATCTAAATGATGAGTATTTTGAAGACTTTTTGGTTGTTTTCCAAGCCTGTCCTGGACTACATTTCCATAATTTTTTGCAAGACTAACTTTCTCAGGTTATGGTTTCTTTCAGCTGCTAATAGGAAGAAGAAAAAAAAAAAGTGTGTCTGTGGGGGTTATAATGTAATTGTCCGGTGTATTTTTGACCGACAGGGTTTATCTTTCAGTTATTAATATCTCATTAATAAGGAATTTCTTAAAGCAGGCTAATTTCTCATTAATAAGGAATTTCTTAAAGCAGGCGAAATAAGTGAAGTATGAGTAATGCTTCCCCGTTTTCTGAGAATGATAGATTTGGTAAACATGTAAGATGTAAAGGGGGCCTGCACACTATTAACACCCTTTGCTTTTCGTTAATACCCAAGGTAGCTAAAGAGCACTGCAAGCAGCTTAGCGAGATTGGACTGGATCTCACCTTCATCATTCATGCCCTTCTGGTAAAGGATATCAAAGGTGCTTTACAGAGCTACAAGGATATCATCATTGAGGCCACTAAGCACCGCAACTCTGAGGAGATGTGGAGAAGGATGAACCTAATGACTCCAGAGGCACTGGGGAAACTCAGGGAGGAGATGAGGAGCTGCGGGGTAGGCAATTTTGACCAATACACGGGTGATGACTGCTGGGTCAACCTTAGCTATACTGTGGTAGCCTTCACTAAGCAGACTATGGCCTTCTTGGAGGAAGCGTTAAAGCTTTACTTTCCAGAGCTGCATATGGTTCTTCTGGAGAGTCTTGTGGAAATCATCCTGGTGGCTGTCCAGCATGTTGATTACAGTTTACGGTGTGAACAGGACCCTGAGAAGAAGGCATTCATTAGGCAGAATGCATCCTTCCTGTATGAAACTGTCCTTCCTGTTGTGGAAAAAAGGTTTGAGGAAGGAGTTGGAAAGCCAGCCAAGCAGCTACAGGATCTGAGAAATGCTTCAAGATTGATGCGTGTAAACCCGGAAAGTACCACCTCTGTGGTGTGAAGTGACCTAACTGTTCTTATGAACAGAGTGTGAAAGCACTTACTGAAAATGTTGTACATTGAATATATGAACTAAATGGTTTTTTTGAGTCCCTGAAAAACGCAGAAGTCTAACTGCTGCATTCCGGAAGCTGAGGACTTACAATCAAAGCCTGCAAGGATGCAACGCTTTTCTTGGTGGATGGCACGTAGGGGAGCGAGAAGTAAGGTCGAGGTCACATGTCCTTGGACAGCATATCCTGTAAGAATGGCTTGTGTAGTGTAAGTGGCTTGGGAAATACTATAATATACAATTTTTGGCCAAATGTTTGTGAAAGTCTTAAATGTACGTACACCATATGGCAGGAAAAGATCACTTCTCATCATGTCACTGTAGCAGTTCTTTTTTAAGGCAGTGTTCTGGTAGGAGGGGAAGTGCTGAAACGCTCCCAGGGTGTGGTATTTGGTGAGGCACGTCCACCATCCAGATGTGACTCAGCACTGCAGTTAAACAACATGGATTTGCACAGTCTGATTTGTTTGGTAGCAGTACAGACTCTTCAGTTTCTCCAACATTCAAATTCATTCATTTCAGAGGCAGATGTAAATTAAAAATGTTTCTTGTATAGGTTTTTGTGTTTGGGTGAAGGGGCTTTTTCTATTTAATAAGCTGGCCTGTCGGCTTAAATTACACCTCTCTCAAAACAAACCTCCTGCTGTCAGAAACGTTTGTTCCCTTCAGAGATGAAGTGAGAATAACTTTCTTCCCTTGCCCTTTGTGTTCCCCTTCCTTGTTTTCTCCTGGACTTCATTGGGGTCAAGTCCATTTGATGAAGTATGCACTCTTGCTTGAGGTGCTGTCATAAACGCATTATGGGCCATTACCTACTGGTAGAAACAATAGTGAAGAGGCATAAATGCTCTTGAGATGCGCAGGGCAGGAAGGGGGTCTGAAGGTGGTGTTTTGTTTGGAAGAAACAGAATGCTAGTTTTGCTGTACAGAAGCAGCACAAGGTGAAGAGACTGGGTGTGAGGCTTTTTGTAAATGATGCGATCTTCAAAATACACACACTGTCTCTCCTGCAAATACTAGTATCGTTTCCTGTAATACAGCAATAACCAAGAAGAACTATCTTTTTTGCAGAAAACACAAGGACTGTATTTGGTTGGGAACTATAAGATAGATGGAGGAAGTTTATGCAAATGCTTGTTTGTTTGGATTGAAGGTGATGGCTACCTCATTCAGTACGTGTCTCTGAAAATAAAATAAGCCAAGTCTTATGTAAAGGCTGGCTTTAGAAAGCTGTCAGCATTATCTTCTAAGCTGTGTAAACTTCTTCCCCTTTAGCACAGACTTTCTTAATTGTGGGAAAATCATGTTACAGCTGAGTAACCTTGTATTAGACTCTCAGTAAGTGTTCTTAACTGGAATAATTGAGTATCCTATTCCTCTTGCGCTTTCAAATGAAAGCTTTTGCAATTTGTATCATGGTAATGAATGCCTTGTGACTGCCTGAACAAACAAAAGATATCGCTAGTAAAACATTCTGTATAACTGCATATACTAGAGCTTCTTCATTTCTCCCTATTTTCACAGTGCTAGTTCAATGCAGTTTTCACTGTACTGGCTAGTTTTCTTTCTCTTGCACTTTGGATGCCTTTTGAACTGTCAGATTTTGCAAAGCATCCTACTGTCTTTGCTCACTTGCTCTCCAGTGTTTGAGCCTTTTGCTAGCAAATCGCAGAAGAAAATGTACAAAATGGTTTTAAAGGGTAACTTGGTGCTTTTAGCTAAGTCTGATTGAAAACCACTGAAGTGGCTGTAGTTTTATTTTAAGGTACAGGTACAGTGAGAATTAGAACTTGTGTGAACGTGTTATCTCCAAGAGAGAGCCACACAGGCGTTATTTCACTGGTGAACTATATCTGATACCAGAACCTATATCGAAATAATATATTCTCTGTCATCTGTTTAAAGTGGGCAAAAGTAGCAACCTGGCCTTACTTAATCTGAGAAATATTTTCAAGTGGTTTGTAAGCGAGAGCTCTCCTTGATGACGGGTATTTTGGAGGAGAGGGAGAAGGGAGGGCTTTTTTGTCTGAGGGCAGGTATATTTTATTGTTTTCTTTACAGCGGAAGAAAGCATCTTGTGAGCACAGAATAAGTACAGATGAGCCTTATGTAATTTTTTTTTTTTTTCCATGCAAGAGAAGGGTAAGCTGTGGAGCTGCAGCACAAGACTCTGATTATTGTGATGCTTGAGGATTTTGTGTAAGAAGATGAATTGTAGTTTCCCGATTCCCAGCTCTGGCATAAGACTGAATAGGAAGAGAGCCCTATTCATGCTTCTGTGCAAGCTGGTGTAGCACATCTTATCTTCATCAGAGGATGAAATGTAGAATGTAATTCTGCCATGTGCTCTGTTATGCCTCTGTCACCGCTCCCTTCATCAATCTATTTACGGCATGCAGGGCCTACTGATTTTGTCTCTGTCATCCATGGAGCAGTGGGATGTTGGTTTTAATGGATCAGGGAATCTGGCCTTTCCTTTGGGTGATCAAGTATCGTGTTCATGTGCCTGTCACAATTCAAACACACGTGAGGATTTGTATAAACTACTGTAGGTAGCATTGATATTTTGTAACTTGTGAATCTATTCGAGTCATAATAAAAGAAAAACAATGACTTAAAGGAAATGGTGTGCAATTAAATGAAACATGCTTTGTATGTTAATTCAGTTAACGGAAAAAGTCAACATATGCTGAGAGTCATGGTTTAATAAATTTCAGATTTGCAGACGGTAATTTGGAATGGCACTTTTCTTTTCCTGAGCTGTACACTTGTGGGGATAGTGGTGTTCAAGCTGGGATTTGCAGTAACTACTGAGTAATATGATAGCAGTTTTGTTGATTTGGGGAAGAACTAGTTGTATTTTTTTTGTTTTGAGACAATTGCATATAAAATCTGGTTTCCTTTAGCTGCTGTGACAAAATTGTGATGTGTAAAATGAAGTTTTTTTTTTTTTAAATTCAGATGAATTTATGTATTAGAATTTAATGCAATAACTTCTCTGAACAGTGAGGACCATGTATTAAAACTTTTGGACAAACAACACTAGTGGTGTATTTCTGTTTTTATTACATCATCAACAGAAAGGGGGCATTGGTTCAAAGTTCAAGACCACTAATAAATTTCCAGGGCAAAGAGCTTCACGTCAGTCATTTGTGAGGGAGATGTAAGAGGCAGCGAGGTGATGAAAGCCAAGTGATGTCACTTCAGTTACATTCTTAAAAAGTCAGCGTGCGGCTTAATAAGGTGAAGTTGGAAGAAAATGTTTCTCAATGTGGTATCTGATTCAAATTGAGGAGAGGCTGTACTCTAGTCTAATGGGACTTGGGTAGATATGTGAGGCCTTATCAACACCAGGGCAGCGTAATGCTATAGGGTTTGTTACCTTCCAGAGATTATTTTGTCGGCGGAGTCCCTTCATACTTAACTTGAACACTGAATGTGCAGTACAGTCCATCTCCTCACTAGGTGGAGTTTTGTCCTTTGAAACCTCCGTATGCCGTGGCCCGCACGGGCATTAAACCTGTGCTACCTCACAGCGTGGCTTGGGATGTTTTTGTAGCACGTTGGGGAATGAAGATGCTGCACCAAATGATTCGGATGTTAGGGTCAACTCTTTTTCCTTCCTTGGTAGCACTTTTCTTCTGCATTTTCTAATTTTTGTAGTGTTAATTTCTTAATTCTTCATGTTTTCTTTTCCTGCTGTGTTTCTATACCATCAGCAGGCATCCTGCAGAGGATCTCAGCTTTTTACTTTTTCTAAAGGTATGTACCAACATGTGACTTTTGTTCTGCCTGAGAGACACTCTGCTAGACTGCAAGCCCTGCAGAGATGTGAAAAGTCGCTTGTCCCAGCTTCAGCTGTCTCGTGTAAGATGTTCAGCTTAATGCCTTCTCAAAGTCAGGCTTGTGTGACCTCTTGTCATTTTACTTCAATATTGGACTGAAATTCCAATGAGAGCTCACGCTCGTAACGCAGCTTTGCACTCTAGCACAATAATGCAGAAGTCCCCGCCACCGATCTTCATAACTTAAGCATTCTTTACATTCCCTTTGCTGCACAACTCTTATGTTTTAACTGGGTTACCTTTTACTTAAGAATATTAGTAGTTTTACAAACTCTCAGTGTGTTTTCACTGAAGAAAGTCAAATCAGAATGGAGCTTATCTGTCACGGAGCTTTGTGAGCATAGCCTGTAGATACATACTTTTCCTTAGAGGTTTAAGAGTTGTGGTGTGCATTCAATCCCTACAAACTCTGAAAGGTAGGGGAGAGAGAAACACCACAAACTGTGGAAAGAATGTTTCCCAATCTTACGTAGTACACTGTTTTTGTGAAAACAGATTTACGCCCTTTATAATTACAAGGGATGCTGACTAGAGTAATAGATAAGAATTTGGTTGAGCCACCTTGGACACAGAGTAATTACCTGCTGAGTATTTAGGAAACTTTGCTAATACAACTTCAGTGGCCTCAATGTGCCCTGTAATACAGTTCTCAACTTCAGGGTTACAGGCTGAACTTGATTCTCTGCCACAGATGTGCTCTGTTTGACACAGCTGAGAGAAAGTACTAGCAAGAGGCCTGGCCTGTGCTGACCACTGAGCAGTATTCCCCTTCCCAGTGGTTTACATGGCTGATCAGGACAGCTTTAAGGCAATTTTAGATCACTCTTCTGTAACCCTGTGGTATTTATCCTCTCTCCCTCACTATGCAGTGGCTGGATCACAGTTGCATTCCTTTCGATGGCCTGGGCATCCCACTTCTCACCCAGGCAGAAGATTATATGGGAGGATGGAGAGAACCTGCTCCCCAAGTAACTTGGAGAGAGCTGTGATGGCACATGGTTACCAGTGGGGGTCCCACAAGAGCTCTGCATTGGCGAGCATCACCTCAGCACAGGGAAAACAGGCATCCGCTGCGTATGCAAGCGGATAGGATTCCATTCAATTTGTTCTCGTAGACCAGTACAAGAGCTAAAAGCAGGTATGAGAGCTGAGATATTCATCTCTTCATGTCATGGCAGGAGCTGGACTCTGAGGCATCGGCGAAGATTACCCAAAATATAATTTAGCCCTGCAGCTGTTGGGAATTTTGTTCAGATGTGCTAATATGTTGGCATGTGATTATTGAATGTATTGTGTTTAGGGAGGTGGACCAGGGAGAAGAGCAGGTAACATTAACTTCACTGCTGCTTGGGAAGTCCTTGGAGATGCTTGGATTAATGGTGATTTCAAGTTATTTAAAAAAAAAAAAATCACGCAGCTCTT